GCAGCATCGACATTTTGTGACGCTACATACATATTGCTTTGTGAAATTCTTTCAAGTTTCGCCTGCTGCTACTGCTGCTTCAACAAAACTTTTCCAATAAACAATTTGATTTGTATAATTATTTGCAGCAGAAAGCGCTGTATGTAGGCGTGCAGATTTCAATATGCTTCTACGTTTTAGATTTCATATCAGCGCGCTTGCGCATGCTGGCACCACAGATGATGTTGCTGATGTTGATGATGGCACCATATCGTCATTGTGTAGTCAAATGAGCAAAACTTAACCCACGCATGCGTGGTTGCTTAAGCAACAAATGAACAAAAAAAATTAATAATAAATAAAAAATAAAAGTAAATCTACAGTTTACGCTTGCCCCTCAACTCATCTTCGTTTCACTGACTGCTGATGATATCATGTGCGCGAGAATATAGTCCAAATGTAAAGCTTTTTGGCATACGAGCATTATTTAGCACTTAAACAATATATTTAAATTAAAATTGTTAACAAAAATAAGTTTGCAGTGGACACAGATCTGGTGGTAGCGTCAACCCCCGCACTCATAGCGCTATGCCGGTGCCCTAAACTCTGCCAACATCCACGCAAAATGTTAAATCAATGACCAATTTTGGTAGTTAACCAAGCACGTTCATAGATTTTGCTTATCTACCCAGTCCAACCACCCACTTTCGGCAGATGTCGCTAAATATTTATGACGCACACCTATGTACATTAGGGTGCATGTAGAGTAACATAAAAAAAGTCGCTGGAATTATAAGATCTATTATATTTTGAAACTTCCGCCGAAATATTTCAGAAAAATATTAAGATTTACGGGAGCTGGAAGTACCTCCAAAAATAGTTTTTTTTATAAACAAAATTAGGTAGAACATTTTTTTTGCCAAAAAATCACCTCCGATGAACGGTAAACGCCTAGAAAGTCTAAATAAAAATGTTAAACAATTTTATCATCGGAATCAAAATACCTAATGAGATTTTTTGCAGTATTTTCAAATCAGCTCAGCTCACGTAAATCTTAATAGCTCTGATCCAGTACTCCATGAACTTGCAGGTTTTTACACAAAACTTGCAGGAAGTTACAAGAAAAATGATCGCGTTCTCCAAAATCCTTTAAATGAGAGTGATTTTTGGAGAGTTGTGTAGAGAATGAACTTACCCGAACTTTTTATTGTGGTAAAATCATGAAAAGTGTCAAGCGATCACTGGTTGCCGTTTTTACAAGAAAAAATGCTTTTTTTGTTCCCGTACGTTTTGTTTTTACTCACTTTTTACTCTCACTTCAGAGAGTAATTTTGCTGTTTGACATTTTTACAGGATTTTACACCAAAAGTATTGGATCAGAGCTAGAATTAAAAAGAATTTTTTGGCGGACGTCCTAAAATATAATAAATTCTATATTTCCGGTGTAAGAACCGTAACTTTTTTGGTGCGCCACCCTAATGTATTTATGTGTGTATGCCAATGCATACGTCTGAAGCATCTTTTTCTCTTTCCCGTTGGTTTTCATGTTTTATGAAATAAAATGTATGGCTTTGTACTAATTTAAGTACATTTGATCGAATAGCGTTTTGTTGCCCAAATCTGTAAGTCTTTGCTGCAAAATATATGAAAACTTGGCTAATCTATGACTATGTCGCCATTTATGTTGCGATCAGCCAATGAAAGAGTTCGTTGAGCTTTGAAACTAGGTTAGTTTTATGAAGCACGCAAACATTCTTCTTCTTATTTGGCAACAAGACCAAGTAACTTCGCTAACTTTCTCTCCTCTTTGCAAAGTTCTCATAGCAAAGGTAAAAAAAAAAAAAAATCGGTGAAAAGTTCTCTCGAGCAGACAGCAGGTGGTTTATATGTTTTTGGGATCGTTGAACACCAAACTGCAGTCCGTTTTGTTCCATCATGTTAGGATCCTTTTCTAACCTGATTTTTTTTTATAAATATTGGCGGATTTAAAAGTTATGTAAAAAAATATCCATCATTTTGGACCCGCAATTTGCTATTTAAAATTCGATCCGCCATTTTGGATTTTACAAAACTTAATACATACTCTTAATCAACGACCTTAAAAACTTCTTATTACCAAGATTAGAGTAAATCCGTCAATATAACCTATATTTATAAAATTTGGTAATCAAATAAAGTCCGCTAGGTTTTTTGAGGTTAGGAAAAATCCTGACTTGATGCAGCAAAACGGACTTCGGACAGATTCGTGTTCAGCGACCTCGAAAATACCTAGTCTGGTCAATAGAACCTTTTGTAGTGGTTCAACCTAAGTGGGTGCCGTTACCTTTATTGGTCACCCACGGGAGCCGAAGAAGGCTTCTATACTTCTACATTCCATGTTCTTCAATTAACTGATGTTAACAACAGAGCGATAGATATCAAAATCTCCAGCAGAGCTTTCTCATCTCTGTTTGACACGCATTATAACTTATGCAGCCATAGTCTGGTGAAAATCGCTGGATAAAAGTGGAAATCAGATTAAAGTTGGGACCGAGCAGAGACTCGCAGACTTCGGTTTCAGGATTCGTATACGATATCTAGATAACTAGAGAAGAATGCGATGCCGACGTACCTCCCGGAAATAATGGTATTGCCATCATCGCGCCAAGACGAAAGCATAGGTGCGGTTCTCTATTGCCTGCCTAACGTCTGCAGTGTCTTTCAGGCGGAATTCTTTGCCATAGAGCAGGGTGTTTGTATTTAAAAAAGTAAATGTCTATTAGGGAAAAGTACTACATATATACCAAACGGCATTGATAGCCTTAGTATTCAAGGTAGTAAAGTCAAGATTTATTCGGAAATGTTACGCATTGCTTGAGCCAACAGTACATACTAACTCCGGCCCTACATGTCATTCTTTCCTGACATCCTCCTTGGAGGCTCGGGACTATTCTGTCGAGGAATAGCATCACTTAGTGACGTCACGTCGCTCTTTGCTCGGCACTTTTACACCGCAATATCGAATGTAACGAAATAGCGGATTAGATTGCTAGACTTAGTTCGGAAATGCTAATCGACGAAGCGGATAACTCCCTACAACCACCGTTTTGTTATCGACTGAGGAAAAGTGATGAGTACACCACATCCGTAACAAATCACTTATGGACTAACCGACACGACTGGGAAGTATCAAGGTCTTTAGTTTTCCATATGCAAAGGCTCTTTGCATGTCGCCAATAGGTACTTTTCCTTNGCCCTACATGTCATTCTTTCCTGACATCCTCCTTGGAGGCTCGGGACTATTCTGTCGAGGAATAGCTTCACTGCGTGACGTCACGTAACTCTTTGCTGGGTACTTGTACACAGCAATATCGAATGTAACGAAATAGCGGATTAGATTGCTAGACTTAGTTCGGAAATGCTAATCGACGATGCGGATAACTCCCCTACAACCACCGCTTTGTTATCGACTGAGGAAAAGTGATGAGTACACCACATCCGTAACAAATCACTTATGGACTAACCGACACGACTGGGAAGTATCAAGGTCTTTATTTTTCCATATGCAAAGGCTCTTTGCATGTCGCCAATAGGTACTTTTTCTTTTGCTAGTCCACCGCAAAACAAACCATTTTTGCTTCCTTTTCTGAGGGGGAAAATATTGCCCACGGGCTGTGGCGATCAGTTCGATGACCACAGCGCTGCTGAAATTAAAATGGGCAGTTCATATCATATAGTCGTCTTGTCTAAAACCTCATTTTACCTCGAACGGTTCAGAGAGGTCCTTCCCAAATTGGACCGTATTAATTTTGTGAGACTACCAAATTTAAAAACTGCATTAGAGGTAGCTGCTTTTTGTGTTTTCTAACCCAGCTTTAAAATCGACAAAAGGGTGTCGAGCTAACCCGCATTATTCCAGGAGTTGTCGCTCACCGATGAGGTACAGCAGCAACTAAAAAAACTTTTTAAAACCGACCATGCTGGATGCATACATACATACATACTGTAGTACACTTCGATGATTATCGAATAGTTCACTGGTCGATTAACAAGAAAAATAACTATGAAAAATGTAGGGAGTTCCAAACCGTGTTAAATTCAATTCAAAATTTTAATAAACCTGTTCAAAATTGCAGAGGACAGCAGTAAACTTGAAAGAAAATACTTATTTTAATGTTGGTTCGTTTTGAGTTAACAGCCGAGATGGGCNTCTCGAACGGTTCAGAGAGGTCCTTCCCAAATTGGACCGTATTAATTTTGCGAGACTAGAGGTAGCTGCTTTTTGTGTTTTCTAACTCAGCTTTAAAATCGACAAAAGGGTGTCGAGCTAACCCGCATTATTCCAGGAGTTGTCGCTCACCGATGAGGTACAGCAGCACCTAAAAAAACTTTTTAAAACCGACCATGCTGGATGCATACATACATACATACTGTAGTACACTTCGATGATTATCGAATAGTTCACTGGTCGACTAACAAGAAAAATAACTATGAAAAATGTAGGGAGTTCCAAACCGTGTTAAATTATTTTTTAAACGGTATGTGCACTACTTCAATTCAAAATTTTAATAAACCTGTTCAAAATTGCAGAGGACAGCAGTAAACTTGAAAGAAAATACTTATTTTAATGTTGGTTCGTTTTGAGTTAACAGCCGAGATGGGCACTACTACAACAAACCTGATGAGAACTGCATAGAAATAATATGTTGTAGTGTTCGTTCGTGTTGAGTTAGCCTGACTTGCTTAGAGGATGCTCCTTTTTTTGGCTGAAGCCACAGTCAGCTATTCGATTGATGCTTTGCCTTGCTGACTTAAATTATTTTATATGGCGAACATAAGGTTGATGTGCCACTATTTTGTGTTCAATGAATATTTATTTAAATTTACCAAGGCGCACAAGTACCCTGAGTTATCGGTAGCTCCAATTTTTTATGGTTAGATTTTCTTTAAAAAATATCTACAGTTTTTCTCTTTTTACACTTACTTTTTTCTCAAAATGTTGCTTTTAACTAATATTAACCTAATTCCTTTTCTCCTTTCAGGCGTACGAGCTCTCTACATTAACTGGCACACAAGTGATGCTGCTAGTCGCCTCAGAGACTGGGCACGTTTATACGTTCGCCACCCGCAAATTACAACCAATGATCACATCAGAGGCTGGTAAACAACTAATACAAACTTGTCTTAATTCACCAGATCCGCCCAGTGTGGGCGGTGGTGATCAACGTATGTCAGCGACTGGCTTCGAAGAGACCGAATTAAGCTATAACATAGCAGACGAGGACTCAAAAGTAAGACAATTAATTTACGGCCATCACGGTCACGCTCATCTCAGTCATCCGCAAGCGCCCGCATCACACTACGGACTCGAGCAGAGTATAATGCAATCGCCATATAGTGGTGGCCAACCATCACCGTTATCGCACGCGCAAGCGTACGCAACGCACGGTGGGCATGCGCATCATACGCACGTACCACATGTGCCACATTCGACGCACTCACACATGTCGCATACGCATTCGCAGCGATAGGTGAATGATGGCTGGCAGGGCATAACACAAATGTTAGGCGATAGGATATGCAATCAAATTGCTTGTAAGCGCACTTTTCTGGCGTGCGAAAGCGCTTGAATGCGTACCGCGCTTTCATTTAAGCTTTCACGCAAGCTTTCATGCGCTTGATTGTAATGTGCTGTGTGCATACAGTGCCTTCATGCGGCTTAGCGTTACTCTAGATTTGATGAAAATTATAGTGTCAGCTGTCACATTTTTTTCTTTATTTAAACGCATGTACTTAATTAATTAATTAGTAAAAATCGACATTCCAAACTACTTATATGTATTTCCTTTTAATACCTTCTTGCATATAATATACATATAGTGAAAATACGTAACGTAGTACTCGTGGTCATAAACGTTAGCTGCATTCGCGCATGCTTTCTTATCAGCAATATTACTTAGTTGTATGTATCGAATAAATAATAACGAATATTACGATCAATGATCTCGCCTTAAATTAGAACATAAATGCTCAATACTTTAATATGAAGAGAACTAAAAGAAGTAGAAAACAAAAACAAAAAAAAAAACATACGAAAATACGAAACTAGTCATTTATGATGAGTTGACACGAATCTAAATCTAAAGTAATAAGACAAAATCCAATTACCTACATACATACGTACATACATACATATCATATTCTTGTTGTAATCTCCATTAAGTTGAACTGTGCCATATTTTACTCGTACTTCAATTTCCAAACACCACTTAAGCCAGTCAAACACATGTCTCCATAGTTGCATATATTTAAATGAAGTGAAGTGTGCTTTAAGGCGTCGAGCGAGCGTGTGTGCGTGGCATATCCTTGAGTCGTGGGGCGAGCAAACAAATGAGGTCCTTAAACACATACCCGCACTTAACACGCCTCCCTCAGCTTCACTTCTTGCACTCAAAGCGTGTACCAGTGCCATAAATTGGAGCCTACTGTACCCATTCTAAAAAAATAGTAAAAAAAAATAACAAATGACAATCAATTGTCTTATAAACAAATCACAAAGAGACGAAAAGGGCGAAATATCGTGTGAAAATGAAGGCAAAGAGAAAAACTAGTGAATTTTTTCTTATCTAAATAAAAAAGTTATTAACTGAATTTAGTGCCATTTTTGAACAAACTCGAAAGCTTTAAGTTTTCGTCGGCTATTGCAAAAATAAGAAAAACGAAGCGTAAAAAAAAATAAATTAGAAATAAATATTTTTTTAATTTGCGAATGATACGTGCAATAAATAATTTACATAAGTAATTACCAATAAAAAAAAAAAAATACTATAAATAGTGTAAAAAAAAATATTCTGCTGCAGAAGAGTCTAAGTAGTAGTGGTCGCGGATATGAGATTGAGCGTGATCGGTTGCATAATGTGTTTGTTTTTAGTATGTAGTAGTAAAGTATTAAGTGTTTAGTTGTTGTAAGAATTTAAACATACGTCAAAAATGTTAGACAAAGTTGCTTATTGTCATTTAAGTAGATTTGCGAAATCAAAAAAAAAAAATTAAGCGAAATCATAAAAATTCATGTATTGGTTATGGAGCTGAAGGCGTGTGTGACTCAGAAACAGGAAATTTGGAAAACTTGAAACAAATTTTCAAGAAAAACTTATTTTTTTAATTCAAATTGAATTCTTCTAAACTCAACTAAGTTGTTCTAATGAAATGCCATAGAGCTTATTTGAGCTACAAGCAAATTTTTGTCTACATGTTTCTTTTTCAATTCGTAATTTTTTTTAAACATATTTCATTAAATTTTTTCGACCAACTATTTTTTTAACAAATTTTTTCTACTATCTAATTTCTGTAATTTTTTTTAAATGTTTTAATTTTTACAAAAACATTTTCGGGCGTTTAAGATTAAAAACAATCTTTCAAAACTAATAAAAGCAATAACAATTAACCTCTTGTAATTTTTTATACTTCCATTTTTTCAATTTATTGTATACAAAAATTTTTAACTTATTGAATATTGAGAAAGCGACCTTAAGGCAATAAAAATTAAAAATAATATTTCAAAAGAGTTTAAAATTTTTTTTTGCAATTTTTTTAGAAACCACACAAGTTTTCTAATAAAGAAATTGCTTCAAATATATTCAAGTTAAAGTTCAAATGTTAATAAAAAATATTTAAATTTATTTAATCAGATTTACTAAAGTTGTAAAATTAGCAAACAATTTTCTTGCAATTTTTTTAGAAACTGCACAAGTTTTCTAATAAAGAAATTGCTTCAAATATATTCAAGTTAAAGTTCAAATATTGATAAAAAAATATTTAAATTTATTTAATCAGATTTACTAAAGTTGTAAAATTAGCAAACAATTAAAAGCAAAAAATAAAATTTTCCGTATTACAATTTTGAAGCATGCTTTGAAAACTAAAATTTTTTCTATTCATAATAAATTGCCTACCTAAATCAATTTTGTGTCCAAAATGTACATTGTCTAAAATATTTGATTCACTTATTTACAATTTTTCCAAACTCCTGTTAAAATCTGAATGCAAAAATTTGTATTCAACAATTTTATAATGAGCTCGAGGCCATTTTTTTAAATGAAAAATTTATTGTGGAAAAGCAACAACAATTTGAAAATGGTAGAAGTGAATTTGTGCGTAAAACACGCTTCGTAGAACTGCCAACACGAATTTCAGAACATCGCTATATTTTTTCTATTATTTAATGCTTAGCACATTTGATGTAGACACTTTTTTAGTTTTATATACCATTTAGTTATGGTTTTTACTTTTACAAACAAAACACACATACATATACATACATACTTTTATTTATTTCTGTCAAACGGAAATCAAAAAACCATAGTAAAGAAGACAATACTTTATTTGTATAAAAAAGGAAATAAAAAAATATTTTTTAAGTTTAGCAAATGCACTATTAAATCAATTAATCGGCTCCCAAATAATTCTTAAAATATTATATTAGAACACAAAAAAATTTACACAATCAAAATCAAAAATCCCATAACCGCTGTAATTATATAAAAATAAATACGAAACTATTGTAATTTTAGTGAATTTGTGACTCGAAACTGGAGAACTTTTTGCTTTGTTTCTTAAACAGTGTATTTCTGATTTTTAAAAACCCAATAGTACATATTTTTTATGCTGAACCGACTGACGCAATTTCTTTAAACCCATATTCGTTTTTTAGTGAGTCAACTAAGCTTTTTTCTCTATTTATTTTCTATTGATAAAGTTATCATTTTTAAAAGCTTTTATTTAACTTGCTACGGCTATGTACATATGTCTGTTTGGGTCAAAGCATGCAATCGAATTTTAACCAACTTCCCTATGAATTAGTCCGCTAGGTGGCGGAGAAATCGAGATATTTGAAACCCCCGTTATTAAAATCCGATTTGGTTCATACATGGGATTTATATTACCTACATATGAATGTGCTCAATATTCGATTTTGCCGCACTATGGTCATGGAAATTCGTCGGTGCAAATCGATTTGTGTACATCGACTGACGCCATGCTGGTTTTCCAAAAGGACTTATTGAATAAAACTTTAGAAATAACAGGTGAAGTCACAAAGTGGATTTTAAATAGTTTCTAAATAAAATATATAGCCGCAAAGTTGGGCTGGGGTTCACTGGACCTCATGTGACTATTACGGGTTAAACACAAGTGACATCTTCTTCAGAACTGTTTTCGTAATAAAGCTTTTTTCAACTTACATATAACGTTTGACATAAATATTGTAATATTTTATTAAACTGACTAAACTTAGCACTTTGAACCACTTTTCAAAATATTTTAGGAATAAAACGTTCTTAAATATCTTTTGTGCGACTTACCATCATTTTACATACTGATTAAATTTAATTTTATGGGGCAACCCTCTTAGAAATATTTGCGAAACAAATCTTGTNCACATATGAATGTGCTCAATATTCGATTTTGCCGCACTATGGTCACACGGGGTTCAGTGGACTCCAGACCGAAATTCGTCGGTGCAAATCGATTTGTGTACATCGACTGACGCCATGCTGGTTTTCCAAAGGGACTGAAATTATTGAATAAAACTCTAGAAATAACAGGTAAAGTCACAAAGTGGATTTTAAATAGTTTCTACATAAAATATATAGCCGCAAAGTTGGGCTGGGGTTCACTGGACCTCGTGTGACTATTACGGGTTAAACACAAGTGACATCTTCTTCAGAACTGTTTTCGTAATAAAGCTTTTTTCAACTTACATATAACGTTTGACATAATATTTTATTAAACTGACTAAACTTAGTTAGACCTTTAAAAGCACTTTGAACCACTTTTCAAAATATTTTAGGAATAAAACGTTCTTAAATATCTTTTGTGCGACTTACCATCATTTTACATACTGATTAAATTTAATTTTATGGGGCAACCTTCTTAGAAATATTTGCGAAACAAATCTTGTAATACTTTACTCAATTGGTATTTGAATGCTTAACAGGTGGCAACACTCTTCAAAATATTTTCAAAATAAAGCTTTCTTAACCCTCATTCATTTGTCATCCATATTCAGCCCAATTCTGAATACTCTAGGGGAGTTTGTTCTCCGAGGATTAGTTTCTCCCGAGAAAGAAATCCTCCAATAATAAACTCCCAAGGAATACTGTTTTCCCCGAAAATTTGGGAGGAGGAAATTCGAACTTCGATAGCTATTTGGCAATTTTTTAACAGCTCAACTCCGCCATATAAAGTAAAAAATCGTCAGGGAGTTTTTATTCATGATAGGCGCAAAGCG